TGCATTTCCATCTTTGTCTACTTGCATCATGTTCTGTTTTGCCGCCAATCCCCAAAACTCAGAAGTAGGTGTGGTAAAAATCCTAAATGATTCTTGGAATCAATTTCTTCAATTATCTGTACCCTTAATTAATTCATCCAATAAATGACATCTGATAGTGAGGCTTCTAGGGATGGAGCAGGGGGCAGACTGGAGGCCCAGATCACACAGCACCCCAGGGGACACAGCCAGGAAGCTGGATTTTATCTCATGGTAACGAGAAGCTGATCACAATGGCTAACCTTTAGGCTAGGAGCATGGGCTCCAGAGCCAGATGGTCTGGGTTTGAATCCCGACCGTATCACTCACCAAATGCAGGACCCAGGGTGAGCTACTCTCTGGGCCTCAACTTCCTCACTGTATAATGGGGCTTGAGATAGTACCAACCCCAAAGGCAGCTGTAAGGACACCGAGCTTGCACATGTGAAGTGTTAGAGCAGGACCTGGCACACAGTAAGTGCTCAATAAGTGCTCACCCTTTAAGGTCTTTAAGTCACTTCTGCTGGAAAGAGCAAGGACCCCCATTTTGCCACTAGAAGACAGGCCCAGGTGACGTGGCCATCTCTCAGGTTACATGGTTAAAGCCACTAAGTATCCAAGGACGGGGGCCTCCTGCAGGCCCGGGCCTGTCCTGAGTACCAGAGCAGCCTACTGCCACAGACCCCTCCTCGGGAGGAGAGCCCAGGCCCCTGAGCCCCCAGGGTAGCTGGGGCTTTGGTCCAGCTGCCCCTGGCAACGGAGGAAGCTGTGGTCTGGGCAAGCACTTCCGGTGCTCTGATTCCTCTCTCCAATTACTCAGCTCTGCACCCTCATGGGGTTCCAGCGAGTCCGACCAAGCTCAGCACGGCACCCTAGGGTCCAACTGGCACGTCCTCCATGCAGGGCAAACCTCAGCAAGCACCCGCTGGACGCCCAGCACTCAGAAAAGAGGCCAAGGTGCCACAGGCATGATCCCCCCACATCCCTCCTGGCTCCTCCACCAAGACAACAGAAGCTCGATCCTGCATGAGAGAGCACCAGCCAGGTGCCCGGTACGCAATAGGCACTTCATGAATACTCACCTATCTACTGTGAAAAATACCTCACTGGACAGGTACGAAGAATGGACTGCACCCATCCAGAGGGGAAAAGCCTGGAATCTGATGGAGTCACAGGATAATTCAGCATGCCCAAGCCCTGTCCCATCAGTGGCCTCTTACCATCCTGGGCTTGGGCTCTGATGTGACAGACTCTGGAATCCACACACTTGGAGCTGAGTCCTGGCTCTGTTGCTAATTTCATTTGAGACTTTGGGCCTCTGAATCCCCATTGGTAATACTGGTGATTTGGACCAGGTGTTTGTGAACTCTTAGAGCCACTTGGCTTCTTCTTTTTTTTTTTTTTTAAAGATTTTATTTATTTATTTGACAGAGAGAGACACAGCGAGAGAAGGAACACAAGCAGGGGAGGTGGGAGAGGGAGAAGCAGGCCTCCCGCTGAGCGGGTAGCCCTATGCAGGGCTTGATCCCAGGACCCTGGGATCATGACCTGAGCCGAAGGCAGACACTTAACAACTGAGCCACCCGGGTGCCCCTAGCCACTTGGCTTCTAAAGGCACATTTACTGGTGCCCCATTCTGTGCCCGGCCCTGGGCTCAAGGATCCCACCCTGCTGGAGGGGAGCCTCTGCGCTAGTGGCACAGAGAGTACTTGCTCTACCCTGGAGGACCTCCTGGGGGAGGTGATCCAAAGCTGGGTCTCACAGGATGAGTAGGAGGTGGGCAGGTCAACGAATGAGGGTCCACATGTGGCACCAAGCAGTCACAGTCGGACTAATGTGACTTCGTGAAGGAACTCTGGGAGACAGGAAGGGACAGGAAGGGACGTCTGGAGTCCAGAGAACAATTAGGGGCAGGTGCTGGGATCCAGGTGGCCTGTGGACATCCCAGCTGGAGCTGACTATAGAATGTTTTGGCCTAGGGGCTGAGGACTCCTCAGGCCACAGTTGGAGGCAAGGCCATGGGAGCAGACAGGACTGTCAAGAGAGGCTGCAGAGGGCAGCTGTCAGCAGGAACGAGGTAGGAGAATGCCAGCAGCCCCCAGCTTAGAGCAGGAAGAGAGGTGCAGGACTGTGCTCCCCAATGTGTTCCCCACTCAGGAGGACAAGGTCTTCAGACTCTGTTCCCAGTACCCCCCACTCAGCACAGGGAAGACACATGGCAGGTGCTCAGCAAACGTTCGGGTTTTTTAAAAATCCTTTCAGTTGGATCAAGGAAACCAGGAGGGGTGGGGGAAAGTGAAGCCTAGGGGAGTGGGTCCGCCAGGAGGAGGGAGCAGCTTCCAGCCTCAGGGCCGCTGGGAGGTCAAGGCCACTGGTTTGGGCTCCAGGCGGGTAAAGAGGGACTGGCAGACAGTGAGTATGGAAACTCTCTCCAGACCTTCTGATGGAAAATAGACCAGGCAGAGGGAGAAGGAGGGAGGGGAAGGGGGGCTGAAGGAGGCTGAGGGGAGCAGGAGGGAGAGAACAGCAGCGCAGGGGAGTGTGGAGACAAGGAAGGCTCTAAATACCAAACCAGCTGCTTGCTGAGTGACCTCAGGAGAGTCGACTCTCTGAGCCTCAGTTTCCCCAACTGTAAAATGGAAGGGAAGTAGCCCCATGTGGGTTACAGGGAACATCAAATGAGTGAACCATGTGAAGCATCTAGCACAGTGTCCAGAGCGCCACAGGTCCCCAGAGAAGATACCACTGTCACCCTCTCATGTGAGCCCCACTCTACCCCCCTGTTTGCACATGAAGAAACTGAGTCACAGACAGATGAGCAGCTGGCCAGCACCCAAGCTCTCAGTCCCACCCCAAACACGCAGCAGCACCAGCCCCTTGCTGCCGTGGGAAAGGTACCTGGCCCCGAGCCCGGTACGAGAGACATCTGTTGATTGAATGAATGGGACAGACTGAGACAGAAACCAGAAGAAGGCTGTCCTGGCCTGGGGTCAGCAGTGCTGCAGAAGAAAAAGAGGGACCCCAGAAGGTAGCCAATCCGAGCCAGGCTCAGAACCCCAGGCACCACCCACCGCAGGGATTCTCACTCCAGAGTGTCCCTCACGTTCACCCGGAGAGCCTGTTAAAACTCAGATTCCTGGACCCCACCCCGGACCTACTGAGTCCAAGTAGCAAAGGGAAGAGTTCAGGGATGTGCACTTCTAACCTGTGCCCAGGTGAGGCCAAAGCAGCTGGCCCCTGGGCCACAATTTGAAAGAGATGGATGGACATGCCCTTATTTTATAGAGGAGAGAACCAAGGTCCAGAGAGGGAAAGAACTAAGAATGAGATCACAGGCAAAGCCATACAGGGCCTGACTGATAAGCTAGCTGGTTGTCCAGGTCCCAGGCCACTGTCACTCCTGCAGTGCCTGCAGGAGCCCCAGAGGGCAGAGTGGAAGGCAGGGACAGGGAGAGCCGAGAGAAAGAAGGAAGAGAAAGTACAGGATAATAGCTCACATCTAAGGCAAGCACAATTCAAGAGGTAACGCCGATTGCCAAGCCCTCACAGCTGCCATGTGTCAGGACATGAACCCAGATCTGTCTGACGCTAGTCGACCCCCAAACCACCTATCCACACTGCCTCCCAGAGAAGCCAGAAAAGGAAGAAGGGAGAAGAGGAAGGGGCAGCCGCAGCAGGTCTGGCAGAGGCCCCAGGAGAGAGAGGAGGCTGGGCCTGTGCAGAGAGGGGGCAGTGTGCCCTCTGTGCCAGGCCAGGTGGCCGAGCCAGGCTGGCTGCTGCGGGCCAGGGAGCGCCTGCCCATCTCGGTGCCCCACGGTTGCCATGCCGACCCCCAGGCTGTGTTTGCGGATGTTGTATTTGATTTCACACTTTTGGAACTCCAATTACGTCATTTCGCAACACAGGGTTGCCATGACAGCCAGCCCCATGTTCCCGGGTGGCTCATACCTTGGGAGAGGGGGAGGGGCTAGCTGGCTCCCCCCCACCACCACCAAAAGTTAACCCAGAACCCATTCTGGGGAGGCCAGGAATGTGGGGCTGGGAAGCACCTTAGGGATCAGTTAACATCTACATTTTGTGATGGGGAAACTGAGGTCTGGATGGCGAGGATACACTTCCTGACCCCATCCCCAACCAATGCGCTCCCCTCGCCCCATGCCCCACACCCCTTCTGATGGAGTCTTTGCACACCTGGCTGCTCATGGGCTGAGGGGCTGACAGCTGGCGCCCCCAGCAATCAGCCTGGCCGCCTGCCCTGACCCTGCTCTCTGGGGATCCAAAGCCCCTGGTCAATATGCTACATTTACAGACTCATGCATGAGCAAGTGTGGAGGTGGGCTGGTGTCAGACTGGGTTCAAATGCTGGCTTCCCACTAACTAAGAATGAGCTCTAGCCAAGTGGGGCCCCCTCATTGAGCTTCTATTTCTACACCTGAAAACACTTCCAGAGGTAAAAGAAACTCCAACTAACACTATTGCATCTACTAGGTTAATAGGTGTTCTAGTAGATGCAATAGTGTTAGTTGGGGTTCCTTCCTTCCTTCCTTCCTTCCTTCCTTCCTTCCTTCCTTCCTTCCTTCCTTCCCTCCTTCTTTCCTTCCTTCCTTCCCTCCTTCCTTCCTTCTTTTTTTTGTCATTGCCCTGTCATCGTATCATCGTAGCTAAGTTCTAGACTCTGCAACCAACCTGCTCTGTGACTTTGGACTTTGGGCAACTGACTTTCCTTCTCTGGTCCTCTAAGCCAGTAATGTGATGATCTTTCTCCAAAGCTCACTCCCTCACCATTGGACTCTCCATTCCTTAGCCCTAAATTCCAATTATTTACCCTCTTTATCTGCTGGCTTCTATCTACTGGGTAAAGGCAGAAAGGCTGCTGGGCTTAGTTCAAAAACCTCAGCATAGGTCCCAGCTCCCACTCACTAGCTGTGGGAAGAGAGCAAATCTGTCCATGGCCAGATGTCCATGGCTCCCGTCTTTCTTACCTGTAAACTGGGATTAGCAATCCTTCCCTCACCTCTGGGCCAGAGGCTCCCGGAGAGGATGCAAAGCTTCTCAAAAGGGCACAGGACTTTTTCATCACCAAGATCACAGCCATCCTTGCGAAGGATCGGTCCCCCAAAAATCTGAGAAACAAACAGCTATTTAAATTTCCATTTTTTAGATGAGGAAAATGAGAGCCAGAGGGGTGACAGGAGCTGCCCAATTTTAGCAAAAAGAAAAAAAAAATCCTGAAAAATGTGTATCGTTACTGCAGAGGAGGCCATGTCCTGGAGGCAGTATCACAACGATGACCAAGGAGACCGCTTAGTGCCCCCAGTGCCACCCAACTCCCCACCCAGCCTCCGCGGCCCTGGATGTTTCCCCAGACCCGGAGCCAGGACCGACACGAACTGTTTCCCCTTGGTGCCGCCTCCAGCTTTCACACGCTCGAGTTTGCTGGAAAAATCAAACACTGCCACGTGTGCAGGTGACACTTTCTGGGCACGTGCTCATTCCGGCCAGTGCAGCCCTGCGAGTCACTCTGGGGCCCAGCCTTTGGGCATGGGCAGAGCACAAGCTTGGGAGTCCGACTGGCCCGGGTTCAAGTCCTCGCTCCCCGACATGGTCCCAGGCCCTCGACCCTCACAGGTGCAGCCTCCTCATCTGTGAAGTGGGAATGATAATGCTCATTTCTGAGTCATCCAGAGGATGAACTGACACGGCACGTCCCGGCACAAAGTTGCTCACTAAATGGCCACTCCTGCCTTTCTTCCAGGCAGCCAGCTCCATACTGGACGCTGGGGACCCAGAGAACTGAGGCCACGGTCCCTGCGGCTGAAGAGCTTTTTCACCAGCTAATGGGTGTGGCCAAACGGATCCTCATGAGAGAACTAAAGACCATAAGCTCCAGTCAAATGCTGAAGGGACGCATCCAGTGAGTTTCTAGTGATTGTGAGCTCAGAGAAGGCAGATGCCACTGGGAGCTGGAGGAGTCAGAAAAGACTTCCTGGAGGAAGAGGAGGGAAACTGAAGGACTGCCAGCAGATAGTCACGGCACAGCCGATGGGGGAGCCGTATGGAGGCCAGGAGGGACGGTGCAGCGACAGCGACACCGAGGAGTTGGCTCTAGAGCAGCATTTGGAAGCGTGAATGGGCCGTGTGAAGGACAGACGGCGGCAGGGTCGCCGTGAGCATGCGGGCAGGCAGAATAGTACTTGCGGAGTCACAGAGGTGTGACATGGCCCAGGCACACGAGGAAGTACTGGACCAAAAAGAAGGAGGTGTTGGCTGGAAAGAAAGACAGAGGGCAAATCAGGAGAGCCTTGAAAGCCAGGCAAAAGGGCTTAGAGTTAGTCCCATAGGCAATGAGGAGTCACAGAGGCTTCTATGGAAGGGACTGACATGAACAGATTGGAGGTTTAGAAAAACAGTGTGATTAAGAGGGCCTGGGCTATGGACACTGAGAGTAAAGTTGGAGGCGGGGGACCAGAGGGAAGGTTCTGTGGTGGTCCCACTGACAATCAAAAGCTATCAAGGAGACCCGGGATGGACTTGAGACAATTTAGGAAGTAAAACTGCTAGATCTTTATTATGGCAAACTACACAGAACATAAAATGTACACTTACACCACTTTTAAGAGTTCTGTGGCGTTAATCAGTTCACCTTGTTGTGCAACCACCTCCACCGTCCAGGTCCACAATGTCTTCTTTTTCCACAACTGAAACTCTGTCCCCATTAAATGTTAACTTCATCCCCGCCTCCCATTCTACTTTCTGTCTCTATGAATTTGAGGACTTTTGGGACCTCCTTTAAGTGGAATTATACAATGCCACTTGCTTTTTGTGACTGGCTTATTTCACTGAGCATCATGTCTTCAAAATCCGTTCATGTTGTAGCAGGTGTCAGGATTTCCTTCCTTCGTAAGGCTGAATGATATTCCGTGGTATGGATGGACCACACTCCATTTAGCCATTCATCTGTCATGGCCGCCTGGGCTGCTTCCACCATCGGGCTGTGATGAAAAGCACGCCATGAACATGGATGTACAAATACCCCTTTGAGACCCTGCTTTCAATTCTTTGGGGTTTGCACTCTGAAGTGGGATTTGCTGGATCGTATCGCAAGTCTATGTTTAACTTCTTGAGGAGTTGCCATATCTTTCATGCTGGCGGCGCCTCTTCACACTCCCAGCCAGCCCTGCGCACGGGTCCCAATTCCTCCACATCCTTGCCAGCGCCTGTTATTTCTGGGTTTTGATAACAGCCGTCCTAATGGGTGTGAGGCAGTAAATTGCTTGATCCTGATGAATGACAGCATGGGAGGAGCTGAGGGGAGAGGAGCATGAGGAGAAAGAGAAGGATTCTGAGTTTGCAACTTGGCCACCTAAGTGGATGAAGATTCACCTGCTGAGCTGGGTCCCTGGGAGGGGAAATCGGCAGGAGGAAGAGCCCACAGGCCACTGAGCTTCAGGGTTCTGTGGGACATCCTGGTTGAAGATGGGAGTCTGTAGGTCTGGGAGAGTCTGTGCTACAGATAGGAAAATCACCGGCATACAATGTGAAGCCACAGCAAGAACAAGGTGACTTAGGAAGTATAGGATATGGAGAAAAGGGGGGAGACCAAGAACTGAAGCCTGGGGTCCCTCCATTTTAGGAGCAGAGCAATGAAGGCACCCACCAATGGAGCCAGAGGAGAAGCCTAAGAGATAGGAGGAAATCTAGAAAACCATTCTGAGGTTGCATCGTCTAGGATGGGGTTCTGCTATAAGCAACAGAAAATCCCAATCGGTGGCTTAATCAAGATAACAGTCTCCGTTTTCTCTTGTATAAAAGAGGTGAGGGGGAGGCAGCCCACCACCATCATAGACTCAGGCCTCTCTATCTCTAGCTCTGCTTCTCCTAGCCCTGATTTCCACATTCAAGGTCACTTCATGGTCACAAGATGGCTGCTGTAGGTCTAGCCATCACGTTCACGTTCTGGCAGCAAGAAGGAAGAAGCAAAAGCTGATTTACCTCCTAGCTGAGACCACCCAAACTCTTTTAAAGGGCTTTCTGGAAGGCCCTTCCCACTCTGCCCCCAGAGCTGACACCTCACTGGCCAGCCCCTGGTGCGAGGGAGGTTGGGAAATGTGGTCTTTCAGCAGAGCACTCTGCTTTCCCAGAAGTCTGAGTTCTGTCAGTAAGGAACCCGGGGAGAATGGCTGTAGGGGAGGCCACTGGCAGGCTCTAACACAGAAGGGAAAAGAACTCTCCAGAAAGAAAAAGTAGTAAGATGCATTAGCGAAGGTGTAAAGGGTTAACCACTGGATTAGGCAATGAAGTCTGCAGGAGGACAAGGGAGGGCAGACAGCAGTGGCTTGAAGCGTGAAGGAGGGACATGAAGACATGTTGGCTGACCACACTTGGGACCAGCTTGCTACCCAGAGAGAAGATGCCCTGGTTTGGGGTCCTTCCCTGGGAGATGAGAGGACCAGGCATAATAGGCTGTGAGAGTGGGGCCAGAGAAGGGAGGGGAGGGGAGGGGATGGGACGGGACAGAGAGAACAGGAATCAGTGAAGGTGCGGGGCTCCAGGGGTGAGGGGGGACAGTAAGGGTCCAGAAGAGAGAGGAGGGAGCAGCGGGCCACACACCACGCAGGCGGCCTCCACCTGGGGATCAGAGGACAAAGGATGGCATGACGGGGGTGGATGGTTGGGGTGGGAAACCAAGGATGTTCCCACCAAGGCCTTGGTTCTTGACAAGGCAGTGGGCACAGTCACCTCTTCCCTGGGGACGTGGATGCAGCTCTGGGGGGCGGAGGAGGGTAGTGATGAGGGCCTGGAGAGGGGACCGCCCGCCACAAGAAAAGCGAGTGCTAAGGGCCCACTGCGACTGGAAAACGTGGGTCAGGAGCGGCTGTGACCCACTGGGGAGTGACTTCCTTCAGCAACACTCTGGTGAGCAAGCAGTGGAGAGAGGAAGGTGGGTGATGGGGACTGGGGCTCTGGGGCAGATGGAGACCTGGTGGGGGGAAAGGAAGTGCTCAGCAGAGCAACACCGAGGGTCTCCGTGCACGGTCCAGGAGGGTGGGAAGTGGTTCCCATCAGGGCGGACGGCTCGGAGTTAGGGTTCCAGAGGGGGCAGTCCTGAGGGGCAAGGCCCAGGGAGGCAAAGGCAGCGGGCAGCTGAATGGATGATGGTGGCACGGAGTAGAGGGAAGGGTGTGAGCCAAGTCTCCAAGGAATGGGGAGGGTGGCAGGTGGGGTGGTGGGGGCAGAATCAAGGAGGACCCCAGCCTGACAGAAGATGGCAGGCTTATGAAGGAGGTCCCCAAGGGAAGCAGGGTCCTAGAAGGGCTGGGGAGTCAGCATCAGACAGAGGAGGTGGTGGAGCATCTGTGAGCCGTAAGGACACCCGGGACCAGTACATGGGACCAAAGACCTGGGCAGCGACAGAGTTGGTGAGGGGAAGGAGGCAAGGCAGTAAGGGGATGAGAGGAAATTGAGCTTGTGGGGCAGACTTGGTTATCCCATTTCACAGATGAGAAAACAGAAGCCCGGAGAGAAGAGACTCACCCACGGCCACACGGGGTGACTGAACTTGAACTGGCCCGAGGCCTCTGCTCCCACCACTCAAGCCTGCACAGTTCCCTTCACTCTCCAGGCCCCCATTTCCCCATCCAGAAAATGAGAAGAGCTGGTGTGGTCACTGGACCCTAGCTGTGGCCCATGAAGATTGGGCAACGGCCTGAAAGTTCTGGGGGCGAGAGATCCCTTCCCCTGGCCCTGCCCTTTTCACTGAGTCACCCCTGAAATGACAGAACTTTAAAAATTTCAAGTCTGTGTTGGGTCCTCAGAGGGGCTGAGTCACCGAAAGGCTGGAGGCTGGAGGAAGCCAGTGACTGCTGCAGGTGATGTCGGGCTGCCTCCAGGACCATGACCCAGGTGCCCTCTCTCACCAGGGCCTGCCTCACATCCAACCTTGCTACCCCGTCTATGCTGATGTCCATCCGCTACACGCCACTGGGCCCACCTTCCCACAGCCAGGCTGCTCCTTCTCCCTCTCCCGCTCTGAAGTCCTCCATGGCTCCCCATCACCTAAAGAAGTAGTCAGGTTCTTACACAGCCTGCCAGGTCCTTTGTGATCCAAACCCATTGCCTCTGTAGCAACACCACCCACAAGTCCTCCCCTCCACACTCTTGCTCAGCAACTCCAGGCCAGGGTCACACCACCCCGCCACCTCCACCCAATGGAGGATGCTCATTCCTCTCTGCCAATCCAAATCCTACAAACATACAGCCATAACCCCAATGTTTCCATGTCCTCCAGGGTCATCCATGGCCTTAATTTCAAAATACAATCATTCCAAACTCCATGCCCCAAACCGCAGGCGATCCAGTGCTCTTCTGGGTATTTCTGACCCCCTAGCAGGCTACGGCTCCCACCTCCTAGTTCTGCTCTTGGCCAGAAGCACGTCTCCACCGTATCCTGCGTCTGCCAGCCCTTCTCTGCACCTGCGTGCAGTCTCTGCCCTGACTGCCTCATCCCGAGGGCCCCACAGACTTGAGGCTGTGTGAGCCATAGTCCTCACAGAAGGTTCGGGGAAAGGAGAGGGTTCTGAACCTAGCCAGCAGCACCATCAAAGTGAATGTTCCACTTACTGTCCAGAACGTTCCAGGGCCCTCCCTGCCAGCCCGCTCCCTGGCTCTGGCTGCCCTCATGCTCCCAAGCCCCTCTCTACCGAGGGGACCCTGTTCGTATCCACTCTGTTCCCAGTCCAGGGCCTCCCAAAGTATCCGTGCAGCGGCCAAGAAACAACACCCAAACTCCTGCTCCTCCTTACACAGAACCACGTCCTTCACTTCTCCTCCCAGACCAGGCCGCGTGGTGCGACTGGGGACCTTCCCTTTTCTTTCATAACCAAAAAGGGCCTCTCAAGGGGTCTCCCATAGCAAAAACACAGGCCCCTTCGGTGACAGCCCCATCCCAAGCAAGGGCAGCTAGCTGCCTTTAGCCCCTTACTTAAGTAGCAATGTTTTTGTTTTCACAGAATAGAATTTTAGAGTCAGTAGCGGAACCACCAAGTCCAAGGTCATTTAACAGATAAGAGGTGGACTGAGACCCAGAGATCAGGATCCCACACAAAGCAAGCCCAGCAGTTTAGTGCCAAGCCTGGGCCAGAACCTAGTTCTCTGACTCGAGCTCTTGGGCTTCCCTACTCCCCACATCGCCTGCTCTTCCGTGTCCAGGACAAAGGGGAGGAGGTAAGGAGGGAACTGGCATCTACTGGGCACCTACTATGTGCCGGGCCTGGTACTAAGCACTTTCTGGGAATGATGCCATTTAAACCTCAGGTCTACTCTATTATCCCCATTTTACAGACGAAGAAACTGACACGCAAGGAGGAAGCCCACAGTCAGCCACTCAAGGTCTATCAGCTCAGCCCTGCAATTATAACCAAGCCCAATTCTTTAAGGATCATACCCAGCTCGGTCTGAAGTGGGGTTCCTCTTCTGCACAACAGTAAAAGCAGACGCTGGCGGAGTCCTTGCTTGTGGCCAGCACCGTATGAACATTTCCCATGATTCACCCCCATCCCGGGAAGCTGTAGAATTATTCCCATTTTACAGACAAGCAACCCGAGGCTCGGAGAGGTGAGGTGTCTCTCACCGTGGATTAGTGGTGGAGGGAGACTCACACCTAGATCCATCTGGCTCTAAGGCAATATTCTCTCCACTCCCCTTCTCCCTTCCTGCTTGGGAGAGGCAGGTGTGGGCACCAAGGCCTGTTCCTGCCTCTCCCCTCTATCCTACCAGCTCCAGGGCCTCATTTAGCCCCACTCGTGGATTCGCTTTTGGGCACCTGGAATGTGGTTCTGGACATCGTGTCAGCCTAGAAGGGGCAGCCCCTCCTGCCCCGCACTTCCCGCCCAAGCTCTGCACAGAGGATTCGGTCTATGGCTAGGAGAGACCCCTCTGGGCAAAACCCAGGCAGCCTGGCTTAGGTTGTTCCTCACTGGAAGTTCACTCCGGGACTGAACTAGCTGACCCTGGGGTCTCATCCCGGCCAAGATGGGGCAACCCCCTTCCTCCAGGCACTTTCACCACCGCCCTCCCCTCCCATCCGGTTGCTGAGGAAGAGGCATTCAGCTCCTTTATACCAGGAGGTGGGATAGATCTGCAGATCTGAGGGACGTCTCCCCTCGAGCTCCAGGGTTGCCAGCAACAGAATCCAACTGGGCTTCCTTCCGCTGGAGGGGCATTGACTGGGAGGCTGCAGGGGGCTCACAGTGGAGGGCCGCTGGGAGAAGCAGGTGCAGACTGAAGCCCAGGAGAAGGAGGGCTTG